GAGCACGGACCCGGGGGGGGGGGGGTACGTGCCCCTCCCCCAGGGGCCACCAGCGATGAGAGCCACCTGCCCCTCATGTCTCCAGATGAGCCATTCATGGCTCTGTCCTGTACCTCAGCTGGGCAGTGCCTACCCCTGCCCCAAGCCCTACTCCCTCCCTCAGTGAGGGGGGACTCCATCTGCCCTCCCCTACAGGCTTACCAGCTAACTGCTGCTCTCTCCAAGCTGCTGGGATGCACATTGGCAGTCGGATCAGTATCATTAATAATTAGCCATCAGTATTGGTTCAAAAAATCTTTTATTGGTACACCCCTGTCGGTCAGTATGAGAAAGTGTTCCCAGCCCATTATCAACTGTGAAAAGAAAGCTGTCGGTACTAATGAACACTCTGTTAGTTTTTTGCACATGAACATACAATTCTAGGCATATAGTCCAAGTAGACAGTGAGCTATACTCAATATTAAGCAAGCATAGGTCCATTGTCTTTTATGGTATGTCACACTGGCTTATCGCGGGTCTGAATTTATCATAATAAAGGACAGTCTCACAGATATTAAAATCAAGAAAATTCAGTAAGCATTAAAACTCTTATAAATGTTTCCAGGAATATATCTATCTATATAGCAAACTTACTGTGTTTCAGAGTGGTTTTCTCAAATATGCTACACTGCTCTAGGAAGCCTGCTTCCTCAGCTGGAAGCATTGTATCTATGTACTGTTTCAGGTGGCCTAACAGGCACTGGGTGACAATGTTAATGATAATTAGCCCACTTTTAGTACTGCAAAGATAGCACTGCTTTGGCTTCAGATGCACTGTGCCTAAGAGTGCCTCTCTGAAGCACAGTATATTTCCTTTGTAAATATATTCACTTCTCTATTTTGCCATGGACTATTTGAAAGATTATCTAGCATTGTTTAACAAAAACTTTGAAACGTTGAAATTTTGCTTCAGAAAATACCGTATATTGATTTTCCTGAAAAATCAGGAAACACGGCAGAATAGAACTATGTATTAAAAATTATAAAAGGCGTTGCATTGTGGATACAGCAAGATAGAACTACATACTCAAAATGAAAAAGGGCATTGCGTTATTAATTTAGTAGTATGAGTAATTATTGACGCTGACTTCAAATTAGCTTGTGCTTTTACTGCCACGTAAGTGTTCATGCCTTAGACACTGAAGATATGTTAGAAGGGAAAACATTGGAATGATTTATACTTTTTTTAAAATGTGAAGTAGGTGCAGTGGAAACTTTTGCAATTAGTGTATTTCTCATTTTTATACAATGAACTTCCTTCTGTCCTATTTTCAGATCAGCTAAACTATTCACAAAAGCTGAGAGCAGTGAAGAGGACATAGATGACATTATTAATGACATCTTTGATGACAGCAGCTTTGCAAAAAAACCTGTGGTAAGCAGATATCAGAAACAGTGCTGGAGGGAGGGTCTCAATCACAACATTTTTAGATGAAAAACTAAGAAAAGTGAAATTTTAAGGAGGGGTGGCTCTTTACTCTGGTGTGAAAAAGAAGGGAGGCCTGTTGAATTAGGAAGCTCAGACCAAATGTGAACAGCATAGACATTCTGAAATCTGGAGAGAGAGAACCAGATTTTCCCTTTAGTATGTGGTCAGTGTAGACAAATTCTTACACCAGCTAATACATTTAGGGTTAGATTAGGGACAGGCCTAACATTTGCAGTGCCATAATGGAGTACATAATTTTGTTATTAATGTTCATAAAAATTTAAAATGCTAGACTCCTTCAGTAGTAGACAGACCTAAGCTGAAAACAAAACCAGCAGTATTGGAGACACAATATTGTTAGAAAGTAGTTTTTTTCTTTAAAAAAAATGCTCTTCTCTACTCATCTGCCTAAAGGTAACCTAAGAGGCTGTTCATTTTAATTTTAAATAAATATTTCTGTTCATATTGTAGATCATTCACCTTGGCTATTCACAGCCTACTGCATGGCAAAGCCTTTTCAATAATGTTTGTCTCTGCTGAAAGGTTCACAATGCCATTCTGTTTTGTATTCTTAGAACTCCATGCCAAAACACTTACCATCTCTTCTGCTAGTATTTGAGTGGTGTGAATAAGGGTTATTTGTAAAGAGAAAGGTGAATTTATGATGGCAAGAAATGCAAGGACACCTAGATATCTAGAAATGAAAAATGAAACTGTTTGTCTGACAAAAAATGAAGGGAGACTGGAAATGTCAAGTGGAGGATGATGCAAAAAAAGGTCCCTAAATGCTGTTTTTTAAAGGCTTTAAGCAAGGAGAAGAGTACTGAACTGGATTCTAAAATCCATGGGTGTTTAACAAAAATGATAAAGGGCCTGAAAGGCAAGCCATACAAGGAGTGGTTGAAGAAAGGTATGTTCAGTTGCAGAAGAGTCACTTAAGAGGGGATGTGATGGCAATCTTGAGATATCTGAAGGGCTGCCATAAAGAAGAGGGAGAACATCTTTTTTTTCCCTTGCTGCAGGGATAAGGACACACACAGACTAGTGTCATGAAGTTGCAGCAAAGTAGATTTAGACTGGATATCAGAAAAAAACTTCTTCGCTGTTAGAACAGTGAGGCGGTGAAATGGACTGCCTAAGGAAGTTGTGGAATCTCCATCACTGGAGGTGTTCAAGAAGAGGCTGGATAAGCACTGAACAGGGATGGTATAGGAGTAGTTATAGCAATGGGAGTTTCCCATGCTTCTGTGCTTGGCTGGTTGCTGCATGAGTCCAGGAAGGATTTTTTTTTTCCTCTCCTGCTGCTATATGCATCAGGGTTTGTCTGTTTAGGGTTTTTTCCAATTTCCTTAGAAGCATTGCTGCAGCCATGGCAGGGGATTTTGATTGGGATGTGCCAGTGCTTCTGCTGTAACTAAAACCTGAAGGTTTCTGGCTGCAGGGTCTTGCCCCTCCACTCAAGGTCAGGCCAGTCACCGCGTTTGGAATCAGGAAGGAATGGTCTGATTGGTACAGATTGTGGGGATTTTTGCCTTCCTCTGTAGCGAGGGTTGTGGCCCTCTTCCTTGGATCTTCTGAGTGTATTTTGACAACCTTCCAGCTATGGACACTGACTGCCATTGTCCCCGTGCTTTACCTATGGCAGGTTAGTTTGTGAGACACGGTTGATTTGTGTAGTTTTAGTATGAATTTCTGTGGCATGGTTTGGAATAGGAATGATCCTGCATCTGGTAGGGGGTTGAACTAAGTGAACTCTAGAAGTTCTTTCCAGCCCTACTTTTCTATGATTCTGTGATTTTAAGAATAAGCCTAGGGTATGGACAGATAATTAACAGACTTTGGAGAAGAGACATGCAGTAGGACATGAAGGAAAGAAAGTGCAGTAGTCTTGTAATGAGAAGCAGTGTTATAAATGGATCATCTTACCAAAGTGCTAATAGTCAGATATAACAGATGTGTCTGAAGAGTTTGGGCCAATAATAATGATAAGAGCATAGACTGTCAAAGAAGGAAGTGGTTTTGAGTCAAAGAAAGATAAACAGAATATAGGAGTGTCTTTCAGCTTTTGTCTTGTTCTGGAAGAACAGGGGTGGGCAAAATGGCAGATCTAGTTGGCAGCCACACTCCATTTCCCAGCAGCCCCTGCCCATGTCGCTGTACCCAGTTTCCATGGAGACCCCAGGAGGAGCAGTGCTGTGACAGTTTAGGGTCAGGGTTTCCATGGAGACTGGTCCCAACAGTGCTGACACAGCGTACAGCTGGGCAGGGAGCTGCTCTGGGGTCAGGGCTAGGATCTTGCAGTGGTGACAAGTGGTACAGAGATGGGGCATAGCCATGATCCTCTGCCTGCGTGACCCTGCCTGGGGCATGTGGGCAATGGATCACAGCTCTGCCCCAGGTCCAGACCACGCTGTCACCACCGCAAGATCCCAGCACCGGGGCAGCTCCATGCCCAGCTCTGTGCACTGCTGGGGCTAGTCTCTGTGGAAGCGCTGGCCCCACGCTGTCACAGCCCTGTCACTCCTGGGGTCTCCATGGAAACCAGGCACAGTTCGCTGCAGGCTGGACTTTGGCTGGCCCTGTGGTAGAAGTACATCTGTCATTTGGCTGGAGGAAGTGTCAATGAAGCCACAGGCTGGCTTGGTCAGAACAGGCAAAGCAGATGGTTAAGTGGAAGTCATTATAGATGTTAAAAAATAAAGTTAATTAAGTTTCATAGGTTTAAAACTAATTAAAGCCTTGTCTGCATGGTAGATTTTTCCAGTGCAAGTCAAGGTGTAAATTTAAACTAATACTCTTGTAACATAATACCCTATGTAAGCACTCTTAGTTTGTTATAAGTTCCTGGTTTTGCTTTATGTTGCTTGGGAAGTGGTTAAAACTAAACCAAAAAGTCTTCTTGTTGTCACAATCACAGTATCCATATGGAGAGTCATGGCAGTACAATCATCCAGCTATTTTGACATAATATTTGCATGAAGAAAGTCTTTATATTTTGCTGAAACTCTGCCATCCCCCATTATTGACTGTTAACAAATCTTTGTAAAGCTGCATAGAACTCTGATTAATCCTTCATGAGGTCTTACATTTTTACTTATTTGCAGTTGAAATGGTGTAGCACTTTGGATTTTCCTTTTTTACCATTACCAAAATATTTGCATATATAAAAGATTTCTCCTCTACAATTTGCTGCCTCTCTCTCTAATTATTACTATCTAGCATGTTAGTCTTCCATAGCAGGAAGCACTGATCTAATGAAAATTCTTAGGTGTTTAAAGCATTTACTGGGTAACTTTTTGAGAAGGTTCTTAGATGCTGCAGTAATTCCTAGGCACTAGGCCCTGTGCCAGGCAGTTAGGCTCCGTGAACAATGCATGTCTCAAAGTGGTATTCAAATCACCCACTGAGCAGGGATATGCTTAGAGGCATGTTGACCACAGGGCTTGTAGATTCATCAGATCAGAAACAGAGCGTAGAAGAGAGCATTCCCTGTTGGTGGTTCATCCATATAAACTTGTCTGGAGAAGGTTATTGCTGCCTGCATTGCAGTGGATTCTTGTAGAGCTTCTGCTGGGTCACTGATGGGAGGGAACTGCAATGACTGCAGGTGTATTACTAACCTAGTTTCCTGTCCTCACATAGGAAGTCTCCTGAAATAGGCCTCTCTTAAGAATCATTGCAAAAAACTGTGGGGAAATTAAAATCTTACAGTTCTCTCTGCTTCTACCACAGGGGTTTTTAGCACTTGCTTGTTAAGCAAAATAGAATAGCCATGCTATGTTGCTGTAATTGTGCCTGGCTCTTTCTTTTGTATTTTTAATAGAAGTTAAAATCTAAATCTACAAGTTCCACATCTGAAACCAATAGTGGTTCTGTGCAGGCTTGTGGTAAGAGGTAAGTGAAAAACACTTTGGTGAACCTAATGCATGTGTAAGAAGCAGCCATAACCAGTTGGTTGATTCTATTACAGTGATTCACAATTAGGGTGCCCTGAGATCTTTTAAGAGTGCCATAAGGTGCTATGCAAGATGAGCATTTTTAGGTATGTAAGCCCACAAGGCCCAAGCTAAACTCAAAGGTTTCAAATAGGAATTTAGTGTCAAATATATTCTGACGTGGTAGTTCTAAATTCTTTGCAACAAGAATATTGCTTTATTTTTTTCCATAGTCAAAATCCAAGTGAAATCAAAGAGCTGTTTTTTTTCCACAGAGTGGCTGGAGTGTAAAAATGTTGAGAACCAGTCTTCTATTACTGTTAAAACCATATTAACACAATAACAACTCAGAATTCAGGGAAGCTTTCTTTAGGAAAAGAAATAAAAGTAAGCTTGTAGCAATTTGACAGTTTGCGACTCCAAAGCAAAGGAAGTAGTAGCATGGAAGATTATTGCAATTGTAAAGTTGTGCCACATTAAAAAGTTTTAGCCTTTCTTCAAAATAAATATTTTCTTCATTTTTCTTCGTTTAAGTTTTCTGTGCTATTTGATGAACATTACATAAAGTACTGTATTTCTATGACTCCTGCTAATGTGCATGTTGAAAAACAGTTAAGTCCTTAAACACCTGTGTGCTCAGCCCACGCCCAATAAAGTAACAGTTACAATATAAATACTGCACCTTGCAACTACTGGAAAGTAATGGACTCTCTGAAAAGGTACATGTGCTGACTGGGACATGATACACAAAGGTTAGTTTAAGTTGGTAATATATTCCTTTCTCCAATGTGTTTTACTTAAAACTTTATATTTTTCTTTTTAAATTCATGTAGATGTTGTCCAGTGTATCTTGGTGGAAGCACTGCACTATATGGTATAGGAACAAATATTTCAAAGAGGTAGGACATCTGAAAGATCTGTTCTAGTTGCATTATTACAATCCTTACCATGTTTACAATGTTTATTCTATTCTGAGTTTTAATAGTACAATGAAATAAAGTTTTATATACATGTAAGAGAAAAAACACATGGAACTTAGTTTCTATTTTGTGAAAATGCTGTAAAGATTTATTGAGATTTATCTGCTTACCATTGATACTAGAGAGTCCATGGCTCTTTTAATAAAAATAAGGTTTCTTACTATATCCTTAGCCAGAATTCTCTGTTCTCCATCAACTGTTCTGTTGCAATTTATCTTCTTTTTACTGCTGGTGTAATACATAGTTTAAATATACAATAGGTTCTATATGCTTTGCAAGATTTAGCTTCCTAACTCCCTCTGAAAAGATGAGGGTCTGTGAAGTAAGTAACCTGTGATGTACAGTCACAGCAAACAGCTGTTGAAGTGTTCCAGCTGTTTTTTGCAGCTTTTATTGCAAAGGGTACCACTTCTCCAATCATCTGGAGCCCATCAGTGATCCTGTGCAGCCCTTTGAAGTACTATATTTACTTAATTAAAAGATAAGGTTTTTCCCCCTCATTTAACATGGGGAGAAAAACCTCCTGTCTTAGAATTGAGTATGAGGCAGCAGGGGGACAGGCAGCTGCCGTGGCTCTGGCTCCCGCCTCAACCCTTGGTTGGGGCGCGGGGCGG